TAGAGTTTTAATTTCATATTCCAAAGCAGAATATTATTCTAAGTATTTTGATACGTAAAAATCGAATATTGGATGAATAGTTTATGAGTTATAAGTATTTAAAGTTCAAATTGGCAGAGTGGAGTGGTACAGGGTTACCCCGCAAAATGTTTGTCCACTAGCTACTCCACTTCTCTAAACTTTAAATACTTATAACTAGAGTTAGGATGTTGATGACCTAAAAAACACACAAATGCCCTAAAAAAAGTGCAAAAATGCACTGAAAACTTCAAAAAATGACCTTAAAAATTATCTGAAATATTAATTAAGTAAGTGAAAAAACTTTTTTATAAATAATAATTTTTATTAGAGATATGGGTATAAATAAATTTAAAATTTATATTTAATTAATGTTAAAATTATTTTTTACTAATAGTCCAAATCTAAAGTTATATTTTAAATGAATTTAATTTGTTTCCAAACTTGGGTGTAACATTTGCCTTAAAATCTATAATTTGTGAAAAATGCCYCACATTGTATAAAAAGTACAAAAAATGCCCTAAAAGATGAAAAAATGACTTAAAAATGTTGAAAAATGATGTTAAAAAACAAAAAAATGCATTTATAGCTAAAAATGCAAAATAATGCAAAAAATGCAGAAAAATGCAAAATAAAATTAGAATATTCTGCATCAAGGGAGCATGAAACAAATTTTTAGCTACGATAGCATTGTACAGAATAAAAGGAAAAAAATGCAAAAGTCATCAACATCCTAACTCTACTTATAACTCATATACTACTCGTCCAAAATTCGATTTTTACGTATCAAAATACTTAGAAAAATATTCTGCTTTAGAATATGAAATTAAAACTCTAGGTTGTCATTCAAAAAAGTAAGACTTAAAAAATTATAAGGATAAAAAATATTTAAAAATATAATTTTTTAATAAAAACATTGTTTTTTTAACAACGTGAAACTTTGTAAAAAATTATTTTCAAAAACATTGATACTTTTGTAATAATGAGTGGTTACTCAAGTAACTTGATATTACCTAATTATCTTCTTTTGCTGTTTAAGTGTTGTAGGCATTTGATGAAGCTTTGACTTCAGGTTGATTCGTATATTCAGTATTTTGGTTTCAACTTCCTCTAATATTTTCTTGAAAACCTTTTAATGAAATAAATAAAAAATATTTCAATATTTTTTTTACCAACAATATAGTTTGTTAATTTATACTTACCGAAACTTCAGTTTTACCAAACAAATTTAAAGCCCTCGCGTAATCATTTATAATTACATCTACATCTTCGTTTTTAATATTACGATCAATGTTGATTGGTAATTGAAATAAAAATTTATATCGAGTCATAACAGCTAATGCATTTCTAGTAGCTTCAGCTTTTTCTCGTCTGGTTAAAACACCATGAAATAAATGAGTTGCTTCCTTTAAAGATTCTAAAATTATATTTTCAATAATGTTAAGTTTAAACAACAAGATATTTATTATTTAATAATTAAAAATTTACGGTTGATCGCTTCTTCAACTCTAAAGAGAGTTTCATTATTTCTTTCAAAATCAGCTTCATAATTTTGTTTTAATGTAAAAAGAGTGTCTAATTGTTCCATAACTGATCCAACATTATCCTATACAGTATAATAAACAAAATAATTTAAATTAAATTAATGTTTAATTTTTTTTTAATTACTTACTTTCAAAAAAGACAGCTGTCCTTCATTTTGTGAATCTACCTTTCTCTTCAAATATGATAATCCTACCCGTAAATCATCAAAAGATGTCCCATGGTGGTGTTCAAGTAAGAACCAGGCAGGTTCAAAGTTTTCAGATAGTAAATCGCCAGAACCATCCGGAAATAATTCAGTTAATTCATTTTCAGGAAATTTCCTTATTGTGTAATTAAAATAATATATAAGTCAAGTTTTGACTGATTTAATAAATCAATAAATATGTACATACTCATCTCCTTCAACAGACAACCCCAAAGGATCGTCCAATTGAAATATGGTGACCGAACTGTTTTGCCTGCCCCAATTAAGTGGTGCTTCTTCCACCCACACTGCACTCTCTTTCAAAGGGCCAATTGTTTCGTGATAACCACGAAACTGTACAGTACTTGTACCAACACCACCCGATTTAGTGACTAGAATTATATCGCCGCGTCCTTTTCCCGGGCCAGATCGTGCAATGATCTTATTTGGCGATTTCCATTCAGCCGAAAGCATACACTCACAGTCACATATTTTCAAACCTATAAACACCATTTAGTCAGAGTGYTTTTATAAGATTAATTGACATAATTACTCGATAGGTCGTTGGGGTTGATGCCCAAATGTTCCCCTCTGATTGTCACCCTTGTCCCTGGTGGCCCTTCTTTCGGGGAAATTCCCGTTACGACCGGACTTTTAGCCATCGGTAAAAAAACAGCGAACAGTTTACAAAATTAATTACAGTGCCATTTGGACGTCTCGAACTGAAAATAAAAAACCTAAATAGATAGTTTGAAGCCAGAAGGTGGAATTCGACAACTCAGTTGCGGTTTAAACATTAGAAATATCAATGAATAATGATTCAAATCAATCAAATTCTCCAAAACTCTTAAAATTAATAAAATTCATATAGTTTTGATAATAATATCGCTTATCATATTATATCATTTTATCAGTCATTTGCACATCGCACATGTATATTATTATTATTATTATTATTTATTAAAAAGTTCCGGTTTTCATTTTTTCAGGGTATAAATATTAAACTTTAATATTTTACATGGTTCTTTGTCGTTTTTGAATTATTAAGAGTAATTAATAGTTAAGGAATAATTAACTAACTATTCAATCAACTTAAATATAGGAATGCCAAGTTTTTAAAGTATTAAAATGTTTAATCTCAAGTCTTTTATCGGATTACAAAATGTAATATCTCGTTTTTCTGTAACCCAGTGAGTAAAAATATTTGCACGATGTTGTGCCATTGCTAACAATCAGTATTTTTTATCTTACTAATTCTTTAATTTATTAGCAAT